GCGCAACTGCCGGTCGTGAGTCGAGAGCTCCTTGTAGCGAAACGGACACCGATGGAGACCCGCGTGCAGCATAGACCGGAGAATACAGCCGCCTACCGTGGACGCCGTCCGAAGAGACATCTTAGCCACCAGGTACAACTGGGCCGCGAGAAGAGCCTGCAAGGACGGGAGATCCTGCCTCCGCGTTAGAATGGCGAGCAAGGAATGCATGCTTCCCGGGGACTTGATTCGCGATTCTGGCGGAAGGGCCAGATCTGGTCGCAGATGGCTTGCGAGATTGAATACGCACTGAAAGATTGTCGTCCAGCACGCATTTCGGTGGTCGGAAGATGTAGACGGGATATTCGCACGAGGGTGCTCTTCAGCCCCGTGCGAGTCTGAGTAAAGCAACTCCATTGCCCGCAGGAAACTGGGGCCATGTAGAAACGGGAACAGGGGATGCCACACTTTGAAGTAGACCATCATAAGTTCCCTCGCCATGTCCAGTGGCGGGGCCTTGCCGAGCTCACGAGCGATTTCCGCATCATACTGCCACTGAGAAAGAGAGGCAGACGGCCCAGACACGGACGGAGAGCGGGCAGTAGACGGAGACTGATCAGCATGCGACTCATCGCTGCCCACAAGCGTATCTTCCGGCGGAGGCAAGGTTATTTTGGACGAATCCAAGTCCTTGGAGAATGCACGTCGAACGGTCTTGATGAAAAAGACGCCGCTGGAACTGCCAACAAACTGGCTCTCCTCGTTTGAGTGCGCTGTCAGGGAACCAATCTCCGACGGGCCAGAGGTGAGATCCGAAGAGTCCATCGTGGGGACATGGTGCCTCGACGGGCCCTAGATAAATTTTCTGTATCAAGATGCGATGTTCCTCAGTTGATGGACAAGCAAAGGTCACTGCTCTTACTCACCAGTTTAGTTTCCTTCTGTAGAGCTTTGCTTAGTCATCGCCTATCGTTCGATCCTTGTACGCCTCTTGCAGGTCTTGGATGACAGAGAAATGTAGAGGATCTCTATTATTGAGATCGCTATTATTGATTGAGCTTACTGATATTGTCCCATATATTCGGACACTTCGGTGTTGGTGATTCGGAGCACTGGGAATAGCTTCAAAAAGACATGCATTACTTGCAAATGGTCACATTGTTCTATCTTGCCAAAGGTCAAAGTATATATACCGCCAGAAGTACATATATACAAGGTATCAAGATGAAAGATAACCACCAAAAATAAAGGAAAGGTCATGCCACGGTTCGTACAATATCATCAATCGCTCTGGCCACGTAGCGGACGTTTTTCATATTCACTATCTCGACTGTCAGTGTTGTGAGGGAGATTCTAGCATGGGAGACGGTACTTACAGCCAGACATGGAGATACGTCCTGACTTCATCATGTAGATGTGATGTCGTCGTCGAATCGCGAGCACCTGAGTCTCGGTCAACCCGGTGTACGTGAACATGCCAATCTAATACTGTCAGCAAATATGTTCAAGCCTAATCTCAGGACGAGGTAATGCCTACCTGTTCTAGAACATGATTCCATGTGCCCGGTGTCCCCAGACGGATCAACTCGTCATATAATGCCTGGCGCATCTGCTTGATTCGCCCACTCATGTGCTTCAGGTCTTCATACCATTGTGCTCTCAAGCCCTCATCGCTGAGAACGGTCCTGACAATCTCGGATCCGCCACGAGGGGCCATGGAGTACTCTCCACGAACAAGATGAGAGAGATTCGCCAACACAATCTGCGGCAAAGTTCCCGAGCTCGAACTCGTCACCACATGCAGGGCGCCAGTGCGCTGCCCATAGAGACCGAAATTCTTCGAAAACGACTGCGCAACACAGAACTCCAGTTCGGGCTTGCAATTCATGAAGTGCCTGATGGCCCATGCATCCTCGTCGAGGCTTCCTGATGCGAACCCCTGGTACGCCAAGTCAAAGAATGGCACCAGACCTTTTTGCTGGCAGAGCACGGCGAGTTTACGCCACTGCTCCTTGCTGGGATCAGCGCCGGTGGGATTATGTGCGCAGGCATGAAGAATCACGACATCGCCCTTCTTCGCCTGCGCGGAGAGCAGCCGCATTGTGCGCTCATAATCGAAGCATTTGCCCTCGTGGTCGTAGTACGGATACGTCCGGACCTCGACACCGACGAGCTCCCAAATCGTGTAGTGGTTGGCCCAGGTGGGGTCTGGAATCCAAACGCAAGACGGCTTGATGGTGCGCGCAAGAAAATCCGCGCCTAATCTGTTTGCACCTGTCCCCGAGATCGTCTGAATCGAGGCGATGCGGTCTTGCGCTGCGGCCTGCTCGTTACTCGCGGACTTTCCAAACCCAAAGACCAGGTCGCGTGCTAGAGCTAAAAACTTGACGTCGCCCTGGATGGTCAGGTACTCGTGTCTGGCGACGTTGTTCGCATGGAAGAGCTGCGCCTCGGCCTGTTCCACCACGCTGAGGGGCCATGGATCGCCATCATCTGTGCGATACACGCCGAGGCCTAGATTGACCTTCTCAGGGTGACGGTCACTGAGATATTCGGCTTGAAGTGTGAACGGCTCATCGACGGGCGGTACGGACAGGGAGGAGAATCGAGATGGTGTCGACTTGGCGACAGACTTGACAAAGGTTTCATCACTTGTAATGGCAGTCTGTCGGAGACCCTCGTCTATCTGGGCTGGGGCCATGGTGAAGGGAGATCTGCTGTATGGAGTTAAAGGGTCAATCTATCCTAGTCCGGCCTCGGCATAACGACGGTATTTATGCAGCGACGGAGAGCTGCTATTTGACCCATCGCGGTAAAGGTGAACACATTGCGATACCGTGGGCCAGCTTCAAGGGCCAATCCGAATGAGAGACAGCACTCATAGCAACGGCTATTGTAGAAGAATCCGATGGTCCCAGGGGAAAAGAATGCCGTAAATGCCGTTTATCGTCGGAGGTTGACGTCGTTCGGAAAAAATACCCGCTGCCAACCGGTAGCAGCCGACAACTTGCACGGCATCACTACGACAATGAAGTCGAAGACCATGGAATCATTGCGATGGAAAAAAAGAAGGAGGAAATCTCAGGTGCTTTGGGGATCGAGTAAAGTAGGCGCGTGACGCGGGTGACTAGAGCTACTACGAATGAGCCGTGGGTGAGAGCACGCATCGGTGAACTTTATCAAAACGAAAGGTGCAAAGCTAAACATTCTATATCTTGATAAAATCAATCATGTCGCAGAACCAAGCTCTCAATTTCTGCGCATACGGCGCCCACAACCCCTTGAGTATTTGCGGTCCCTCCAAGATCTGGAGTCAGAACTCCAGCAGCGCACACCCGTTCAACACATCCCATCAACTGCTTTGCAGCGTCCTTCTCGCCTAGCCAAGAAAGCATCTCTGCGGCCGACCAGAACGTGGCTATCGGATTGGCTACTCCCTTGCCAGTGATGTCAAAAGCGCTTCCATGCACAGGTTCAAACAAGGATGGATTCTTCCTTGTTGGGTCTAGATTGCTAGAGGGAGCGACTCCAATTGATCCTGCCAGTGCGGCAGCCAAGTCTGACAGAATATCCATGTGCAGGTTGGTACCGACGATAGTGTCCAGGGAATCGGGTTTGGACACCATGCGGATTGTCATAGCATCCACTAGCATCTTGTCCCAGGTGACATCAGGGAAGTCCCTGGCGACCTCTGCGGCCACCTGATCCCACAAGACCATGCCATTGCGCATCGAGTTGCTTTTAGTGACCACTGTCAAGAGACGACGAGGTCTTGAGCGTGCTGTTTCGAACGCAAATCTCATGATTCTTTCAACTCCAACCCGGGTGAAGATGGCAACCTCCGTCGCGGCCTCCCAAGGCTGGCCGACGTGACTGCGCCCGCCCTGGCCAGAATATTCGCCTTCCGAGTTTTCGCGTACGAGAACCCAGTCGATGCCATTTGTCGCGGTATTCAGCGGACATTTTGTACCAGGAAAGGTGCGGACCGGGCGGACATTGGCATACAACTGCAAGGGCCCTCGAATTGCTAACAAAAGACCCCAAAGCGAGATGTGGTCAGGGACATCTAACCAGTTGTCAGTTGCTGGTTGTGCCAAAGTCGATCAGACAGAGCAATCATACCTGGAGCGCCTACGGCGCCGAATAGTACTGCATCAAACTGTCTCAGTGTGTCCAGACAGTCTTCTGATACATACCGACCATATGCCTTGTAGTATTCCGTGCCCCATGGGATGTGAGTGAAGTCGATGTCGAATGTTCGCAACTTCTGGCAGAGTTTCTTGACGACCTGGATCGTCGCTTCAACGACTTCTGGGCCAATACCATCTCCTGGGATAGACGCGATACGGTACATAGTTGGAACTGTAGATGCCATTTTCGCTTTATTGTTGGACCTGAACAATGTGTTCATAGCGATGAGAGTGCTGAGGACCAAATAAGCGGGCCGCCCTCTATATATACCGAGCTAGATAGGGCAGCTCTCGGTCAAAAGAGATGAACATAATGCGCTTGAAACTTCATCCTTGCAGTTACATTTGATATATTTCCAGAGATGGTGACGTTTCCATAGTACTACCGTTCCAACCTGCTGCTGCTGGTGGTGTTGGGAGAACCGTCGGCTAAACTTTTAGCCTGTAGATAATCCCGCACCTTGTTCAGATTAGGATGGAAGGGCATCATCCGTTCAGTCAAGAGATCGGGCTCATTAATAGTTCACCAAATCAGTAGATCTATTGTGAACATGTCTACCAGTAAAAGCAAAGGCTCCAAAACACCTCGGATTACGATTGCCTGTAATTCCTGCCGGTCCCGGAAGCAGAAAGTGAGTGAATGACTTCTTTCACTGATATCATCTTCGCTGACAGAACTGAAGTGCAGCGGCAACAAGTAAGTTGTCTTAATGATAGTAAGGCAGGCTTGCTGACTGCCAAGACCAATTTGTACTAAATGCCTCGAATCCCATCGGCAGTGTAACTGGCCTGAGCAGCTCAAACGGTTGGTTTCCTGATCTTTTAAGGTAGATGTACAAGTCTCACCAAGCTAGAGGACCCGCGAAGGGCTATATCGAAGCACTCGAACGTCGTCTGCATGAGACGGAACATGTGCTATTGAGATTGCTGGCCCACATGAGCGACGAGCAGTTAGCGATTGCTGTTGAACGCGACAAGTCACCCTTTCTGCGTTCCGGGAAGAACGATGCACAATATTGGAGACGATATCCATTGCGCACAGCTCCTGAACTTCGAGAGTGGCAGCGAGATTGTTTGGCAGAAACCAGAGTGTCGCCGTTGAGACACACCGAGGTTTCTGCACAATCGGAAGTCGAAGCTGACGAAAATAGTCATGTTGCGTCTGAAAGTCAGCAAACGGAGCAACAACCTGTAGCTCCTTATGAACAGGCTACGAGCGCACACGAAGTCGGACTGAAATCCACTCAAGTGATCCACGGCAAGGGCATACCGTCGTCGTTGGAGCGTATCCAGTTACAAAATACGCAGCCCTTACACACCGGTACTCCCCCGGGACCAAGCCTTTGGAGTGAAGCGCCCTCGGTAGCTTTCCAGCGACAATTCCTCTGGTAGATACTTGATCTTTCATTCAAAACATGTGCCATCAAAGATGCCATAGGTACAGGATAATGCTGGGGTATTATCCAGACACATACTCTAGATTGGGGCGATCCTACGTCAAATCCACCTCTATGCGCATGCGCATTAAGAAAAGGAAATTCTGGCGAGGTACAAAGCTCAATCGAGCTAGATACACCACATGAAAGCAGCTCAGCAAAATCACTGCTACACAACAGGCAATGGCCGCGCACTCGCCGGCTTAACGAGCCTAATCCCCATCCCCGGCCTGAGCGTTCCCCCCTTCTTAACCGTCCCCATCACCCCGGCCAACCTCTAAACCACCCGGCCCCCATCCCGCACCACACACACATCCTTCAGTCCAGCGCGACACTTATCCATCCCCGGCCCTGGCTTCCGGACACCCGTCAACACCACAATAGCTCCCTCCTCCCCTTCACCGCCCAGGAAATGCAACTCCGTCCCCAGCGGGAGCGTCGATAGCTCGACCCCCTCCGTCGTGATATTCTCGCCGATCTCGCCTGCTGAGAGGGGCTTTGCGTCGCGGCCCGCAGCGGCAGCGGAAAGTCTACCCAAGAGCTCGCGGAGTGTCTCGACGGGGACCAGATGTACTTGTCTGAGATTTGGGGTGCGTTGTGGCTGGGCGCGATGCTGGGTGGCTTGGCCCGCGTGGCAGTCGCCGTCGACGCCGTGGTTGGGGATGAGGGTGATGGATGGGACGGGGGATTTGGCGATGGAGTGGGAGGAGGATTTGGAGACGGAGAGGACGCGGGGGGTGAGCAGGGTTGGTTTTGGGGTCGAGGTTGATATTGGTGTTACTGTGGCAGACATTCTGCAGTATCAGACACTATTCAATCTTGGTAGATACTAGGTACTATGTGTGTGATGATGATGCTCGATGCTTGATTGTTGACGCTCATGAGTACAAGCGGATTGTTGAGGATATCTATTTGTGAAGACCCTCACCCCGCCCTCCCAACTCATCCTGCATCTGACTCTCGATCTAAGATTGATGTGCAGAACTATCCGCGAATACAATTTCATCTAGCGCTTACGGACCGACTATTCGGCTATAGATGGATTATTGAGCGATGGCTTGCAGTGTTTGCGCCGGAGGCCTAGAAGTCCTAAGGTTGGTGCTGGGGAAGGAGGGGAAAGGGCGGGCCTGTTGTCGACGGGCGCTCATACAAGAGTTCAGTTTACACGGATGAATGTGAATTTGAATTCGAGTTTGATTTCTGTGGTGCTTGAAAGGCAAGTCGATGATGCTATTGTAGAGGGATGCCGGTGTACCTAGATACAGGTGCTCAGTTTCTGCCATTTGCAATGTGGACCTCAATCCGTCCGGTCCCCGTATTCTGCGTCTTGATGTACGCCAAATCTAGCACCCCATCCTTATTGAAATCAATCATCTGCCAGAACCCATTGTCCTCGGGATAGAACGTGCTGCCCACCTCCTGGACACGGGTCTGATAGGTCGACGCCCCCGACGCAACATGGACCTCCACACGGTTCGTCCCCGTGTTCCTGGTCTTGATATACACCAGGTCTAGCTTCCTGTCTCGATCGTAATCGATCATCTGCCACACTCCATTGTCCTCAGGGTAGAAGGTCGTGCCGACTTCCTGCACGCGAGTCTGGTAGTTGGATGCGCCGGAGGCGACATGCACCTCCACCCGTCCGGTCCCCGTATTCCGAGTCTTGATGTAGATCAGGTCGAGGATGCCATCGCCGTCGAAGTCGGCCATCTGCCAGGTCCCGTTATCTTCAGGATAGAAAGTCGTGCCGACTTCCTTGATGCGGGTCTGGAAGTTGGACGCCGCCGAGGCAATGTGCACTTCCACTCGGCCGGTGCCTGTGTTCCGGGTCTTGATGTAGACGAGATCATCTCGACCGTCACCGTCTGCGTCAATCAGCTGCCAGACGCCATTGTCTTCGGGCCAGAAGGTCGTCCCAAGCTCCAGCGTGCGGGTCTGGTAGTTGGAGGCCCTGGAGGCGAGGTGGACTTCCACCTTGCCGGTGCCAGTGTTACTGGTTTTGATGTAGGCCAGGTCTGGACCCGGTTTGTTGGCAAAGGAGGGAGTCAAGGACCATGGGCCGTAGGGGTCTGGAGAGACAAAGGTGGTCCCGGTCTCGAGGATACGTGTTTGGTATGGGGCTGCTGTGGCCGAGGTAGCCAACAGCGGAAGAACGAGATGCCAGATGGCTTTTAATGAAAGGGGTTTGGTCTGCATGGCGGAGGTAGTCTATTGCTGAGCTGTAGTGCTTTGATCAAAGCCATAATTGCGAGGGATTGAGCCGTATTTATAGGTTGTTCATCGTACAGGACGGAGACGTCGGGAGTTGGGGATGTTTCTTCAGCTGCTGCTCAGCTGTCTCGAGCAAGGATATTTCGGTCCCCCGCCGTGGCTGAGACATAGTAAGGTCTGGATATTGGATTCTAGCGAGATTGTTCTGCTGTTCAGATGGCTAGCTGGGCTCGAACTGAAGTTGCTGTGGAGCGGCAGCTTGAGGAGTCACCCCAGAGCGAGGAGGCTGGCTGAGTTCGCGACATTGATGCTGGTAAATGTCAATCGCTTCAGGTTGCCGGTTTGAAGTGCATGTTCTTCAGGTGTGATGAGCGGCGACCCCGTTGTGGTACTGCAGAAGTCATGCCATGCCCTTGATGCAGAAGCAGAGAGGACATGTACAGTACTTTTGTGATGTAACCTTGGACAGGGGTCGGTTCATATCAGATGGAATTGACATCCGAGCAGCCGAGAACGTCTTATTCCATGATCGGCTGCTGATGATAATAATGCGATTTGAGCTGCAGCATCTTGACGGTAATTGGAGAGTTTGCACGCAGTCCACTTTGAAGTGATGCTCGTGGTTGACGGGACCTGAGCTACGGCTGCATAACACGACCTGCGGAGTGACAGTGTTGCAGTGCAACCCATCCCGACCGCTTCCTCTTTGAAATTGATTCCATCAGAGACTTATAGGATACAGAATATTGGGCTGAAAATGAAAGCCCTGGACGCTGACTTTCATCAGTCCCGTCGAATCGGCAATACTTGCCCTTGTCGCATTGGGTTAAGCCTTCAGGACAATGAACGGTGGAGCTAAATTGATCATAAGGTCCAAACCAACTTTCGCTCAACTCAACTATGGAAATCCTTCCAGCAAGTACGCCTTAAACGGGGCGGGTAGAGGGGCACCCATAGGGGACCAAGGTCGAGACTGGTGGGGCAGTGACACGCGCTTAATCTCGGCATAGGCGTTAGTGTTTCTTGCAATGGTATCCCAAGTTCCATCAGTAAAGAAGAGACTGAAGAGGTCAAGTGGCTTTTGAGCATCAACACCACTAGGAAGCGGTAGTACCGGGCCTTCAGGCTCACTCATTTTGATTGTGTGTGTCAATTTGACCGTTGATATCAGGAATCAAGCTGAAGCTTCGCCTTTTCCTTACGCGTCAATTTACGCTTCTCAACCAGTGCTTCCACTCTGGCAGTGTTAGATGGCTTCCTATCCACCTCTTTGGGCTGGATAGTCGTGTATCTGCCTCGGGAGGTGATGTTTATGGCGGATATGCTGGGAGTGGATACAATCTTAGATTCGTATATACCATTTTCTACTGGTCCTAGTTCGGTTCCGACCAATCGGATAAGTACATAGAGAACGCGCTAAGAAATGCATGCTTGGCACCGCATCAAGAACAAGAAAAGCGTTTGGCCCTTTGGCCCTATGTGGTCTCCCACACATGCCTCACGATGGTATTGAAGATGAGAAAGACCATGACTTTGTTCTGGGATGATTGTATGGATACTCTTTTGAAGAACGATACTAACGAATATGTTCGTCATCATCATCTTGCTTATCTGACTTGGAGAACCTCAAGCTGCTGTTTAAATGATTCCTCCAGAGTTGGGCGACAAACACAGATACCAGATGATAGGCATTGGCAGCTGCATGACAAACAATTGGAGAGCACTAATATTCCTTTTTACAAGTTTATTCTTGCAGTGTACCTACATCATAGCATACAGCATCTTCCCTTGGGATGTACACCGTTGGTCATTCTGGCTGCTCCCCGAAACATAATGCAAAACTGTCTCGGATAGCTTCATGTCTTCCTATTTGAGCCATGGAAAGATGCAGAGACCCTGGCGACATTGCAGGTCGCCTGCTCGGATGCGCAAATACCGTTTCCCCTTCTCAACATGTTCAGACCTATATAGGATGAACCATGGACATAATAAGCCCAAGATGCTCGTCAGGATAGGCATTCATCTGGAAGTGGATCCTCTTCCTGAATGCTTGATTTCATTCTTCACCAGAATGCTTCTTTCTCTCCTTTCTAAGGTGTCCATTCACAACTGCACCTCTCAGTATATCTAATGCCATTCACTATCGGATAGTAATACTGTCTTTACTCCTTTCCACCAGCATTTTACTTCTTCTGTCTTTCATTTTCATTGGCTCTTATTGACTTTACAATGCTATCTCCCAAGTAAACCTGTTTGACTGGCTTGGACATATATCCAAGCATAGCTACGAGCATCTCGGCTCCGTCTGCCTCGACGACCTGACTGAAAATCAACTGCTCGCGGTGTGAAGCATCCCCAGCTGTTTGTAGCAGACCCTCGTCGTCCTAGAGTACAGCAGCAGGCTGGTTGTGAAGACATTCAGTTACAGCGAGCCTATTGGTAGAGGGGTGGGACAGGTCCCAACTTCTCAGCCAGAACTCCATGCAACACACAGCGTACGAGACCTTCACTAATGGGGTTTTGCGGTCACTGAGACGCTGGCCACGCTTTCTATCGTCGAGGTTAAGAGAAGGATGCGTCACAAGAGGACGCCGGCGATCACAATGCAGGAGGCATGCGAGCTGGTGGGATGGTTAAAAGAATCATCTCGTAACTCTCCGCATCCAATAACCAGTAAGTTATGGAGAGAAGGTCTTGCCGGATTTGGAGGATCTATACTGATATGCTCTTGCCATTCATAGCCTTGTCCTGGTCTCCCGGGATCGGCATGAGATTTCCACATGTTTGCGGCTTACACTCAGGCCTATAAAGGGTACCTTGGAGAAGCATCCAGCCGATCTGTGCTCAGAGAGGAGGGTGCAGCATGTTGAGGTAGTTCCCCTATCTCCGCGAAAGAGCTTCCTGTGGGAGTTGTCTGTTGAGCAAGCTGACCTTTCGCGACAGCTCGTGCCTGCGCGTAACCCAGCGGTGGTTGCGGGCTTCCCGCCCTGGACAGTTGATCAGAATACACTGCACCAAGCCTCAATCTTATGAGGAAGGAACACCCTGCAGCCGCCCATAAAGAGTTTCTCTCCTCTATGGAGGAGAAACTTGATAAATTTGGTCTGTTCACAACTGAGATTACTTCCTTGACACCAGACATCCTGGCCATACTGAATGAAAGACACTTGCGGTAAATTCATTTCCCTATAGTATGTGTCCTAATAAGCTTATAATAGGTGTAGGTACTCATTTAATTCACATCCTTGTGTCCTTCGTGAGACCTGTAGCTGTGCGCGCCCAGCTCCGCGAGGCCTTACTATACTCTGGTAAGGTAGGAACTTCAGAGAAAACTACAGCACTATACCTTCATTATCCTATATGATTTTGCTAACTCTGATTAGAGCAAGAACAGTTCGCTGCGCCATATGGGAACTCACGCAAAATCCCAGACCTCTGTATTGTACCAGACAATCAATATCAGCCTTCGCTTGTTATTGAGATCGGATGGACAGAGTCCCACCGGCGACTTATGGATGACATGAGACAATGGATGGTTGGCGCCATCCATATGTCAAGATTGTCTTGGTCATCAAGTTCGCG